AGAGCTAAGATCCTGTGGGACTTCCAGATCCAGACAGACAGAATGGTAATGGCGAACCAACCAGACATTGTCGTAGTGGATAAACATCAGAGGAAAGCCGTTGTGGTAGATGTAGCAATACCAAGTGATTGCAACATCAGGAAAAAGGAGCACGAGAAACTGGAGAAATACCAGGGCCTCAGGGAAGAACTGGAGAGGGCCTGGAAGGTGAAGACCACAGTGGTGCCTGTGGTCATCGGGGCCCTCGGGGCAGTCACCCCCAAACTGGAGCAGTGGCTACAACAGATCCCAGGAACAACATCAGACATCTCAGTCCAGAAATGTGCAGCAGTCCTTGGCACAGCAAAGATACTGCAGGACCCTCAAGCTCCCAGGCTTCTGGTAGAGGACCCGAGCTCAGAGGATAAGAACCACCCGCGGTGGGTGAGAAGGAAATTTTATATATATATATATATATATATATATATATATATATATATATATACACACACAAACTTGTTGCCATACCAATAAACAGCACCACTGTATGTTTCAGGATTCGATACCAAAAAGCACTGAAATATTCCTCACACAAAGAACTGTACTACTGCACAGTCTGTTTCATTAATATAGTTTTAATGTTTAGTTTGCAAATGTTAATAAGTGATCACTGTTGTACATTATAGCTACAACTGATGTTAGCTAATCTACATAGCAGTTTGCAGGTTATGTTTCTTTTCTGCATTCTTTACACATACAAACTGTAGCCAAAACCCACAGTTCAGTGTATGACAAAACAAAAAATGTTATTGCCGTTTTACCTTTACTTATGAATGAAATCAATGAGCCACTCATTCTGTGCAAAACGTCTCTCTTCACGGATTGGTTTAACCAAAACCAAGTCTATTCTCGATATCCCAAATGTTTTTCGAACTGCAATCTGGCTTTGAATATGAGTGGTTGACCGCCCATGCTTGGTTTGAGCCACAAAATCCCATCTCAGTCCACACAGTGCCACAAGTTGCGGAAAAAAAGGTAGGGAAAGCAGAAATTGCAATTTCTAGCAGGACATCCACAAAGCATGTGTTTTCTTTCTGTTCAAGAAGAGTGGTGGCCTTCTGTCTTGTAGTTTGAAGTAAAACTTTCAGCTCCAGTGTTGATCATCTTTTGGTAATTATTTCCTGCTTCGATTGAAAATTCACTTTAGAAAACTGTTTAAGTGTAGGAATGTAGTTTTCCATGTTGATGGAAGAGAGGAGAAAATGATTAATCTATCGTTGTACTTCACTTATTTACTGTATGGCTCGTTGTGGAGTGGTCGACCGCTCCACAACTCATGATACCAACACGTGGTATCATGAGCGCCCCCTGCCGTGAGGCAAGAAAACTGCTTGCCTCAGCTCAAATCTGTTCTCTGCTGTTTGTGATCGCTCTTCAGCACATGAATTACGTTACACACTCAGTTGGTGACAACACACACTGTACATTATATAGACATGCTAAATTATGGAAAATCAGTTCATATATTGAATATTTTTTATTTATTTTATTGGTGACGTACAGAAAGGAGGAACATGCTCTCATTGAGGGGCAGCAAGTGCAGCTCACCTGCCAGCCCTGACCCGACGTCACTGGTTTCTTCCTTTCTTACTTGGTAGATTTGGAAAATAACTACATGTTTATTGCATAATTTGGATAATCACACTTTTCTGGACACTTGTTCATGACATAACAGATCATAATTGGTATGCTAATGCTATTCCAAAAGGAAAAACTTTCACAAAAAAAACTATAAGGTTTGAATGGCTGGCAGAATATTCTAGTTGGGGTTTGAGTGTCTTTTAAACCAGAGCAGATTAAAGACTCAAGGTTGTGAAAAATTGGGTGAACTAGCCCTTTAGTCATTTACGGAAGCAGAAGCCAACTTTAGCTTCGCATACAAAACAAAGTCAGAGTCAATACTCAATACTCGAGAGCCTGGGCTCGCTCGTGTTGAGAAACAGTTGATTCCTGTAGATGTGCACTGTGTCGAGGTTTTAAATGTTAACCAAATGCTCACATTTGACAGTGACTGATATAATGGACCTGTTTAAGAAGCTTACTGAAAATTCCCTGCACTGTAAAGAACCTCATTCATAAGACATCTGAACCAGGTGGCTGTTCAATATTTTGAAGCGTGGTCAAAATGGACTGAACGGCTTCCTTCACTTCCTTCGCTGCTATTGAACAAACTACAGGCAGACCACAATTCGAAAATTGACATCATAATTCACAACTTCTCATTCTGTACTACCTTATTGGCCCAGTCAAAAATCAGACACTCTCTAAGTTGAGAGGAGACAGGCCAAACGTACAATTGCACTGGAATGCAACAGCCAGGCAAAGTTTAGTTTTTCTGTGTGAACAGCATCAGACCTGCAACCACATCAAAAACTAGATCAAAAACGCCGTCCTCGTTTGGGGGAGTTTTACTGCCATAAATCGAGAGCGCACATTTTTTGTTTGAAAATAGAATTTCATGTCTTTGCAATGCTGGCACTCAAAATCTCTCTCTCAAAACAAAAACGTACCATCGCCATGGCAACATTCCAGTCAATAGAATGAAAGTGTTAAACTGTGCAGTGGGGCGGAGGATCATGTTTCTGTAGGCATTGTTCTAATCATCTGACTTATCAAAGTCAGTGACAGCAGCTACTTTTAAAATGTAATTAGCTACCTGTTGCTTTTGCAAAAAAAAAAAACTAATTGAGTTAGTAATTAAACTACTACAATGTAAAAGTAATTATTACCAGGAAAAGTTAAGTATTAAGTTACTTTTAATGAAAAAACTTTTGGATCGCCTCTTATTAGAACTTTAAAATACTTATTCAAATGTTCATCATAAAATTTAATCAATAGATGGACACAAGAAATTACAAACTGGAATCTGTACACTGAGTTTGCGGCTCCACTGTGTAAAATCCAGCTTAGACTGCTGGGACTGCATCACCCGTATGCTTCATACGCCAAGCTCACTTCAGCCTCATTCAGCCTCATTTCAGCCTCACTTCAGCCTCACTTCAGCCTCACTTCAGCCTCATTTTAGCATCACTTCAGCCTCATTCAGCCTCACTTCAGCCTCATTTTAGCATCACTTCAGCCTCATTCAGCCTCACTTCAGCCTCACTTCAGCCTCATTCAGCCTCACTTCAGCCTCAGTTCAGCCTCATTCAGCCTCATTTTAGCCTCACTTCAGCCTCAGTTCAGCCTCATTCAGCCTCACTTCAGCCTCATTTTAGCCTCACTTCAGCCTCATTCAGCCTCAGTTAAGCCTCATTCAGCCTCACTTCGGCCTCATTCAGCCTCACTTCAGCCTCATTCAGCCTCACCTCAGCCTCATTCAGCCTCACTTCAGCCTCAGTTCAGCCTCATTCAGCCTCATTTAAGCCTCACTTCAGCCTCACTTCAGCCTCACTTCAGCCTCATTCAGCCTCACTTCAGCCTCATTCAGCCTCATTCAGCCTCATTCAGCCTCACTTCAGCCTCACTTCAGCCTCATTCAGCCTCACTTCAGCCTCACTTCAGCCTCACTGGGCTGCACCTGCTCACAGCAACACTGTCATTCTTGGCAACTAGTTTTGTCGAATCATGTGATATTGAGAGGTGATTTGTGAGAATGTAGTATCAGAATACTACATTCTCAATATCAGAATGTATAACTGATATTGAGAACAACATTGCAAACATTTTACAACATACATTTACACCTTTTATGTATTTGACTAAAAAATGACATCTGTACTTTCCATTAAAAACTCTGCATTAAATTATCTGGACTCTCTCTGTCTGATTCTACGGTCCCTGGGTGTGGGAACTTATTGCTGTCCATGCTCACTGTGCTTCACTGCTTGTGTGAACACCAATCTAACTCTCCCTGTGCTGTTTTCTTCAGCCAATCAGCAGCACATATGTGATTCTTTTTTGCCCCTGATCTGATCTTGGTCAGATGAACCTTCAACCTTCTGTGTGCTTAATTATATTAGTAACCATTGTGGTAACAATGAAAATAGTAATTTATTAGATCACTCAATAGTGAAAAAAAGTAACTGTTATTTACATCACTTGTTATAATGTTCAAACTATTTGGTATTTTTATATATAGTTTGTTATAATACATTGGAATGTGTTGAATTATGTTGAATCTTCATTTAGTAATTCTAATTCATTGAATATGAGAATATATAGCATCCTATTTTGCAGAAGATAGAATGACATCAAGCTATGATAATGTTAAACGCCAAGCTGAACAATGCATAAAGATGCATTAGGATGCTCTGATTTATCTGCGTCTATTTCCTTAATTTTGGTAGATCAGTGATTGGCCAATACTTACATGAGAACCTGATCTGTCTACTGATTTTATTGACTTCAGCAAAGGTCTAAAAGTCAAACACTGTCCTGTGCAGCTCTGCTGTGAGAGAGGTTTCACTGAAATACTGGCCCACTAGGTCAGGTCTGCACATTTGTAGTTAACAATAGTCACCCCACTGCTGCCTACTCAGTGACTTTCTTTCTATATTTACATATCAGACCAAAATATTGGTATTGGTCAAAATCAACAAGTCAGGCTTTTTAAAAGATCAGTAATCAGCAAGCAGCCACCACTAATGCTTCCTAACAATCAGTCTTATTTTCCTCCATCCTCCTTGTGCCCTTGACTGTGGGAAGAAGAAAAACTGCCTCACAACCAGAGGGTTGTGGGTTTGATTCCAATTCTGTCTAGCTACAGGAATTAAACTGCAATGATCATGTGCTTTCAGTGGTCAATATGACCAAAAATAACAACCGCATGTTGTCATTTTGGTCATATGCTTCATGATTATTTTACTTCATGATTATTTTATTTTATTTTCCTGCTCTAAAATGAGATGGTTTGTGCTAAAAACTAAGACATTTTGCTGGCTGATTTCTAGACCATAGTATTTGAACTAGGGAAGTTGTCTGAAATAGTTTTTGCTGTCTTTTTGTTCTTTCCACTGCAGAGGTCATTCTGCAGTGCCATGGTGGACGAACTGCGGGTTTCCCTCAAGTGTCAGCGGCAGCTCAAACACAAGCCCCAGCCGCCTGTCATGGTGAAAACAGAGGAGGTCATCAACATGCACACCTTCAACGACCGAAGACTGCCAGGGAAAGAGACCATGGCCTAAAGCAGGAATCTCTGTCATTTACTCACCCAGTCTCATGTACTGAGTTGGTGTGTGAAGACACTTGGAAAAATGGTATGGGAAAATGGTAGAGGGAAACAATAAGTTGGCATGGTTGAAAGTTCTGGTTATAGAGCAGGATTTATTTGCAGCATATGTTGTTGAAATGTAATTCTTCTGTCTTTCTAATTAGCTACAGGTAAGATATTCAATGATATTTCCTGTGGAAATAACTTCAATCCGGGTGAAATTTCAGCAAGATACCTCATTACAACACTGGAAACGAATGAGAAGTGTCAGGATTTAAAAAGAAATATATTGAATTGAAAAATAAAACGAGTGGAATCACACGTTTGATCTCATTCCTCAGTCACTGCAGAGACTGAAAGTGCACCTCAAATAAAATGAAATGGGAGCAAAAATATATACATTTTTTTTGGTATGGCTAAATTTGATCTCATTCTGACTGCAATGATGAGCAGAGTTCTCAAAATGTACAAAGAAGCACCGTTTGGTCACATACAATATTGACTGACATCCAAAATGGACATAATGCAAAACATCATGAGGCAATAACTGAATTTATGTGTTTGTCTTTCAGAATACTGACACTTTTAGCTTTTAATAGGGGTTAGGTTATTAAAAAACCCAAGATGAACTAAAATCAGATAATGCAAATCTAGGGGCAATATATAGTGAATTGTTTATGTACATTTGTCAGCTGGTGTAGAGATCCTTCAGAGGTTCACACAACTTTGACAGTGAATAGCGACCATCATGGTTGGCTGTTATATAAGAATTCTCAGTTTTGGATCCTGTATTAAGCACCAGATGGCTCGGATTCTGCTAGTTGTGGTTATGAACCACATGCTGCTGCTCACAGCTGTCTGCACAGTGAAACCTCATTACACTACAAAGCATCATGGAGAGGTACAATATGATGAGAATGCCATTTGTTTTCATTGTAAAACGATTAGGACCAATCAGTCATTGGAGATGCAGAATAAGAATTGTAGTAGCTATGTTCTCAGTCACTAAAATACCTGTGGTTGGCATAGTCACAGAAACTAGTGTACTGCAGAATCATTAGGGCAACAACGGCCATGTTTCTATTGAACACCATGAAGGGATCCTTTGTCTGAAGACAAACTTTCATTCAGTGGCTCACAAAGTCAGAATTCACAGCAATCACACAACAAAGAGACTATTTATTCAGTATTTATACTTTTATTTATTGGACCTTTATTTATGTCTGTATGGAATAGATTCTCACTACAACTTTGTCACAGCCTCTGTATTAACCCTTTGCAGTGTCGAGGCTCCATTTTAATTTTCTACTCATGGCTTTTCATTTCTTCAGCAACAATGCTCCACATTTACTTGTGCAAATGTGTTTTCTATATAAGGTGATTTTGTACAAGGTGAATCAGAATTTTATAATAATTTTTATCAACACAAAACACAACATAAAGAGCATCATCCAGTGTAAGGAGTCACTGTTGCCATGTGACTCAGGAGTCCACATCTCATAAACACTCTCACATCCTCACACACAGGAACCTGAATACAGTCTTACAACATACACAATATTCTGGTATAGCATTAGTCACTCAACATTTTAAAGGGGGAAATAAACTATTTTTTATGGTATAAAGGAATCATATTTAAATAAAGATATTTTTACTTCACAAGAAATCAAAATGTCAGTTCTGGTTATAGTGAATATCTCATACACAACATGGATTTTGATGCTGGGCCTTTGACTGATAGACTGATAAATCCAGTGCTGTGCAATGATTTCTAATGGTTTTAAAAAGGAGGGATCTATTAGAAAACGGAGTGTCTAATAAATGTTGACCTTGTGAAAAACAAAATGCAATGCACACCGTTTACCCTTTGAAGTAAATGCACAACTTTAAAGAAAATAAAGTTCTTCTCAACTTTTCTTGACTTTTCCTTTGTACTGATAAACAAACAAAACATTTAATGGGAGTGAATATGGCATCACTATCATGCCAAAAGTTGAGAGAGTAAATGTGATTCTGTGTGTCGGGAATTAAGACAGCATGGAGATCCACAAGAAGGCAAAAGGAGAGCCAAACGCGATCTCTCTGCTCACATGAACTTGCTCACTCACTGAGAACTGAGTTAAGGTTTTTGACAGTCAGTGGATCCAGCCGGGCTTCGACACATGACTGGCTACATTCCTTATCCTCTGTGATTGATCATCTAAATTGCAGCTTTTCAGCCAAGGCAGTGAGTTTTCCTAATAAAAGTCTTCCTCACTATTATGAATTGTTATCATTGGCAGAACTGCTCAGACAATTCAAGTACTAATTCTACACTATAAAATTAAAAAAGTACATCTTTTAATGCACTGTCTTAATATAATTAAATCAAAGCTCATTTATTTAAATACGCTTTACACTGAAAAAGCACACATCGAGCAAGTGTTGAAGTGTGATGCATAATAGGCAACCAGGAAAATGCAATGTGATGTGAATAAAAGATTTAGCTGAAATAGAGGACTTCAGATAACCTCATTAAGAAACCGCATGAAAGTGAAGGTAAATTCAGTAAGTGGTTGCTGGCAGCAGTGGTCCCTGGAATTCTGCAAAAGTAATTGTCATTCTATGAAAACATTAAAGCTCTTTATCTAACCCCGAGGCCACAAACAGAATTGAAGGAATGAAACACTTTATTTGCATATATTTAGCCTAATGGTTTTTCCATTAAGTTGAAACACTCATCAGCATAATAAAACTGCTCTTGCGGGAAAGAGAATCAGTCGCATCTGCGGATGGTGGCAGAGTCCCTGAACAAGACATTCAGGATTACTCAGACCTGCCTATTATATCCAGGCAAGAGAAAGATTTTGATTTAACACCCAGAGAGTTTTGGTATTCAAAGTGTAAATTCTATATTATTAAATAGCCATTTTTAATCTTTATCTTCATCTCTATATTAAAACCACCCATACAGTGCAATAATGAGTTTAAAGTAGAGGTTCTTGCTTAAAAATGAACAGGTTTATGATCCTGATTATTGCTTTGGTATTAAAGTGATTCTACTGAGCAATAAGACAGAATATTGACAACATAAATGGCATCAATACACAGTTTTTTTCTTTATTTGTTACAGTTCTGTTTATGCTATTTTCAGTTTTGTTTTTTCGTCTAACCTCTGAAGAAGATGTTAAGACCTCACACTGTTTGATTCTCAAATCAAAGTCAAGTCTTGGCCTCAACTTTTGGAAACAACTGCTTTAATCTTTATTATTACTGCAGGGTAACAAAAGAGTCCCGGTGAGGATTTGATCCCAGGAGCTTCTTGCTGGAACGTACCACAGTGGAAACAGTCAAATGTTTTGAATTGAAACAATAATGTGTAAAGGGCGTGTAAATAACCACAATGTTTCCATTGTTATAATAGTACAAATGGAACTCATGATGGAAGGTCAATGCAGGCTCAACACAACTTGATTTCCACAACTCATGGAAGTGGAGTATGGTTCTGTTAAACTCCTGAATATATCTTACAATGACCACCCACGTTTTGAAAAAATGTATTTGTATGTTGCACTAAAATCTAATCTACATTTTTTGAAACCTGATCCTACTTTCTCTGTTCTGGATTTTATTATACAACTTTTTTTTTAAAGTAGGCTAGGGAAAATTTTAGTTAACATTTCATTATTCATGGGTGCTCTCTATTTAATTTTAAGAAAATATTCATGCATATTGACCTGTGAAGAATTAAATGAAACTCCTGCAAATGCTTGACACTTTCAGACATTGGTGAATGTTATCCAGTCTCTCTGTGTGGTAGTCATTTTTATATAAAAATAAAGAAAACATACAGCTGAGCAAGTATTGCATGATAAAGGTGCTGGGATTTCACCATCATATTAGTTTTCACTAGCTATAAATGTGCCATTATCCATTACAGTTAGTGAGACTGAGATTTATCTGAATGCTTAGACCAACTGTGTATGTCGCTGTACTAATTGGATTATAAGCTAGTGGAAAATGTAGGTGCTGCAGAGCATGTCAGAGATGTTTCCTTTTTTCTTGTGAGGCAAAATGAGTTTTCATTACATCAATCACCCCAGTAAATTAATTGTTGCCTAAAAACATTAAGCCATGATTCAGTGCCGCCTCAGAAATCAGTGCCAAAAATTATTAAAAGCTCTCAAAAATCAGAATCATTTCAATGTGATGACAATTGTGAACCCTCCACCCAAAGAAAAAATTTCACAGTATGTAGTGGTGTTAAATGAATGGAAGAATATTCGCTAACATTATTTAGAAAGTAAAGAGCAGTACTTAAACTTGATTTCCATAATGTTGCTTTGGATTTGTGGATTTTTTTCCCTGTGTTATCCTTGCAAAATCATGTACAGTGGAATGAAGCAACTCTAAATTCAATAGCTGATAGTGAATGACCACGATAATTATTCAGTCATGCTCTGCCTGCCTCCTTGATGCTGGTGTCTTAGGGTGCATTCACACCAGCCCTGTTCAGTCTGCTTTAATCAAACTCTACTAAGTAGTGAAAGAACAGGAATCAAACCTGCTAGTTGGAACAAAAAGAGATGATTTCAATCAACCCAGAGCAGGAATTAGAACAACCTTACAATCCAGAGAGACTCGTATAGAGAAAGTACTCATTACCTTAGACCAACATTTAGAAGCATCTACTTTATAGAATCTGGAGTACCAACACTTAGTTTTATCAAATTTTGAATCCAGAGAAACCCTTATTAATGTAGTTCTATTACTTTTATTTGTTTGTATTTCTTCTAACTCATGTTACTCAACTACTCCAACTCTGGAAGTTGGAGTAGTTGATTTTGATTGCCACATAAATAAACACACCCACAATATTCAGACCAATCAAAGAATAACCTCAGAACCTGAAGCTAGCAGTGTGCTACTGATGTTGTGTTAATGGCAGAGAAACAAGTCAACTTTACAGGAAAATGTCTAATTTCTGAAAGAGTACCAGCTTCAAGCATTAAAACTGACTTGCAGTTGGCAGAAAATGGTATATTGCGTGAAACAATCAAGATTGTCTGTCTGCAGACTGTATAATATTTGCGTGTGTTACGGTCCCTCTGTAAGCCGGACAGAGAGAACCTTCAGGTCAGACCACTGGTCAAAAATGAAATCATGAAACTCAAAATTGAACGCTCGTTCTCTGTTTTTTCATTTTGTGCGCTAAATGAGAAAAAAGAAAAGGATTTCCCATTTACGTCTCTGTATTTTCAGGCACTTTGTTTGTTTGAAATGAAAAAAAATTGACTAGTTTTTTTGCTTTTTGTTTATTAAACCAAAATTGGAAAGCAGCTCGGCTTGGACTCGAGGCTTATTTTGGACTTTAATCTAAAAAAATCATACACATCAGTGTTAGCTAAATGTTAATTTTAATCTTCTTCCATGGTTTACTAATACTTATTTATTTATAGTATAGTATTAATTAATACTTCTTCACACTTTAGTAAGTGAAATATGACTGTCCAATAAAAAATGAAAACCTTTCCCCCCTTCATGATTTTATTTGCTGACAAATTATTGGTATGAACTGATTAAACATAATAAACAGATTTTGAGTTGATCCTTTACATTATTCATTTGCTCAGGATATATAAGCAAGAAACATTAAAGAATTAGTTCAAAGTTAATTTTTATCAACCTGTATGTAACCATAGCCGATGCTTCATAACTGAATGATTTGTTTACAATATGCTTACCAAACTTCTCTTATCAGACTGTAAACTCATATCTTACAAAATAAGTTTTTAGAATAACAAATATTTTTCTTAATATGAATGTACAAACAAAAAAATTCAGAGGAGCGGAATATTAGAAATTGCAATAGGAAGAAAACACTGTAGATTAGAAGATACTGACAGCTTCAGAAGTATTGAAATCTCTAGATGTTATGTTTTGCTACATGTATAAACGGCTCATATACAAGCATAGTAAACACTTCGTATCACACTTTGTGCCGCTACGAACAGAAAACAGAGTGACATGCCGAGATGTCACTGTGTTGTTAGCGGGGAAAACACAATCCACCTGCCCGCTGAGCCTGGAGCCGCCTGGGGCTGTTAGCGGAGTATGCTGCTCCAAAAACTCCGGAGAACAAATCAAAGAAGCCTCATTTTGGATTAACTAAGTGAATAGATGAAGCTATGAGGGCTACTTTCTCACCTAAAACATCTTTAAACAACTTTTTGTGACAAATTATTAGTGTACTCACCTATATTTTCCGCTGCTGGTGGTGCAGTGCAACAGAGACCATATTCCTGGCCCAGGTCCAGAGATGAGACAGACATGGCTGGAGGTTGGTGTTCTTGCTCTTGCTTATAAAAAGCTGAAAGAAAAACTCAAGCTAAGCATTTTTCTCAGGTGACCAAATGTTATTTGTTTCTCACAGGAGCATTACTGAAACTGACTTGCAGTTTGTAGAAGATACTACAGCATGAAATGATCGAGACTGTCCGTCTCCAGCCTGTATAATGTCTATGAGTGAAACGGCCCTTGTGTCTGCTGGACAGAGAGAACTTCCTGGTCAGGACACTTGCCTCATTAAAAACAAAATCAAAATTGAGTGCCTCATTATTGGTTTTTTCCTTTTTGTTTTGTGCACAAAATCAGATAACAGTTTATCAGATTTCTCGTTTTGGTTTAATAAACACGTCTGTTTTTTTGTTTGTTTGTTTGTTTCAAATGAAAAGACAAATTGCCTGAATATACACAGACCGACGGTGTGTGATGGCCAGATTCATGGCAACAGTCCTATCTCGGTAACTCTTTATGCACAATTTATTTTTTCATACAAACAACACTTTAGTTTCAATAAAAACATATATTAGTTGACTAATATATGTTCTATTTGTTAGCGCACACATTTATTTAGCATATGTATTTATATCAACTT